CCTTCGTCGGAGAAGGCGGGGTTGTCGTGGCCTTGTTTTCCGTTGGCGAGAGCAGTGGCCTTCGGGTTGTCTTCGCCTCGGCCTGTGGAAGAGCAGTGGCAGGTTCTTATGGATAAACTCTCCTCTAGTCACCAGTCAACAAACAAGTCCCAAAATTTTCCCTTCATATGAAACATAAAATGTGAAAATATCAAAAAGTTTAAAGAAGATTTATATCAACCGTGATTAATGATTTGACGAATATCGAGCGAATAATGAAGAGAATGACCGATGCCTCACAAGACGTCCGAGGAGGAATGCAAGAGCAATGGCAGCTTCGACTTACCTGGTCGCCTGAAGATGAGCTTCTCGAGGCCCAAGACTGGAGCCTCTGCCGTGAGCGAGACCAGCACAGCCACGACGATGGATATGAAGATTGTGCCGCAAGCCTGGATGACCTAGACGGACAAAAGATATATTCTGAGTAATTCATTCACAGATATTAGAAAAAAATCAATTGACTATGCATTTTCACATACTTAATTGTCTTGTTTGCAAAGAATACAAACAAACCTTGTCTATATGCGTAAAGTAAGTAAGTTCTTTAAGGCTGTAAGCCCAGAAGATCTGCACAGGAATGGCGACGAGGTACATACTGTACGTAAGGCGGGAGAGCGGCTGCCACGAAGGGTGGGAGAGAAAGTCGTTGACGACACCTGCAACAGCCACCTTCGTTAGTTAAATAAAACAGGCAGATTGTGCTATTTATCGATAAGGAATCCACGTAATAATGCATCCACAACACGCCCAAGCTGAATACACATCTCTTGTCCCGCTGAAGGACAAGCACAAACCTCCGTAGCCGAAGTGACAAGCCACCACCACCCAAGCCAGGGCGGCGCACCAAACACCCCTGTGGAGACCGCCGTACAGGACCTGGGTTACAGGGTCGTAGTAATAGTTGGTTTGCAGCTGGTTGTAACTCCACAGGCCGAACAGCACTGACAGAGCCGAAACGCGGCTACCGTCCAGCCAGTTAATACCTGCACCTAAGAACGAGGACAGTAACGTGTGAAATAATGGAATGGCTGCAAAATTTCAATATTATGAAATCTCAAAATTCACTTTATATTCAAAATATTTGTTCTTTGAATATTACAGGTGTCAATTTAAGTTTGTTTGATCCTTGTTCAAAGATGATGTGGCCAGTCCAGATCCCCACGATGTAGGCACTCATACGGCTCCACGGCGCAAAGTACACCATATTTTGATAACCAATGACATCGACTTCACTGTTTATTGTAAGAAAAAAAAATTAAGTAATCGGAAAAAGACAAACGGCTAATCAAAACAATTTCTCAGACTGAGAGAAGCAGATACTCAAGATCTCAAACACGATGGATGACGCTTCTTTGTTGTAATTGTTCTACAGACACTTTGAGGATGGCTAAACATTCGTGTACTCAAAAATGATCGTGTTGGCCTGAAATTGCAGCGTAAACAAAACCTTGTCAGGAAATCCGTTGGATTCATGAAATTAGAAAGGGGGGGTTAAGAAAACAGCAAGAAAGGCGTAACTTACTCGGCACCGGCCGATATTGACCCTGGAGGAAGGTCGTAGGCGTAGATCACAGCTGCTGGGACTATGAAGGACACCAGAGTTACCAGGAACAGCAGAATCTTCCCTGGAATAAACAGTAGTTGGAATGCTTTCTTTCTGGGACTACACCATCGGGCAATTAGAGCAATAAAACGAGGACTAATATTAACATACAAATCAGGCTCCGGCAGAGTTGCACATGAAGAAATACGGCAAGCAATGAAATGGTGAATTGAAGTAAACGGAACAAATGCCGAGGTAGATTTCAGAATTTCGAGGCCGGAGAAAGGCAGGAAGGAAACATTACCTTTGGAGGGATAGAAGGCGAGGGGCAGCAGCACGAGGGAGCCACCAGGTACAGCTGGGTGTCCACGGGCGGTACTGGGCGAGGCACTGAATAGGGAAGGGAAGCATATATTATATATATATATATATATATATTATATAATATATATATATATATATATATATATATATATATATTTGAGATTCTCGGTTTACGACGGTTTCGACTTACAACGTTTTGTGGATACGACGTTAAAAATCATGTACAGTATTTACAGTTTGTCTTCCATGTGTTCCTTTAGCCGTTATGTTTTTACATACGCCATAGAAGTGACTTGTTATATTTTAGATTATGACTTTAATACATGTATACATCCAGCATTAGCATATGTGTGACTTCGGTGCTTATGTACGTACGTATATGTGCTATATTTAGGTGTGTTCAACTTACCTCAAAATTTAGGTTACGACGCCATCGTAGAAACGGATTTCCGTCGTAAGTCGAGGACCCACCATATATATATATATATATTATATATATATATATATATATATATATATATATACATGCACACACACACACACTACTATACACTAAACCTTAGGCGTTTAAGAAAGGACAAAACTTCGAAGACTTACATCAACTGACGTATTAGTGGTCTTGTTAAAGCCAAGGAAGTTGTCGACGTACAGGACGTCCATCCACCAATTCTGCGAGCACATCGTCGAATATGAATCTGCCCCAAAAGCCAAGGGGCCCCAAGGAGGAACCTGAACAACGTTCGCGAACAGCACAACAAGGGCGATGGGAGGCGTTAACCTGAATAAAAAGTAAAAACTCGCAATAAAATAAGGGGGAAATAAAAAAAAGACAGAGGAAGAGAACACTGAGGAAAATCACGTCAAAACACCGATGAAGCAACATTCACGAACACAACTTCGCAGCAGTACCTGATGAGTCTGTGGACGTAATACATAATGATGTTGAGTTTGCCCGTCCTCTTGATCTCCCTCAGGACGCCGTAGGTGACCAGAAGCCCCGACAGGAAGAAGAAGGAGTCCGTGCTCACCGTGGCGTTGAAGATGGTCTGGAAGAGCAGTCCGCTCGTCCACTGCGGAGGAGACGCCATTCAGAATAGACGATGAACGATGCGCCGTACAACTATTCGTCATTTTATAACTATACGGAAAGATGAAACAGCGCCGTACAACTATTCGTCATTTTATAACTATACGGAAAGATAAAGAAGCGCCCTGCCTTTTCTATGTGTAGCAAGTTGACAGTGAAGTACATATCGAAGATATACTGGTGGCCGTAGATCACCCAGGTCATGGACAACACTCTGTTGGAATGTTAAGTGAAAAGCCTATTTACTCGTGATCACATACCCAGAAATACACAAATACCCACCCACCCACACCAACACACACGCACACACACATACACATATATGTATATATAAATACACACACACACATATATTTATATACAGGTACATGCATGCATATGGATATGCATATATATATATATGTATATATATATGCATATATTATATATATACATATATGCATATATATATATATATATATATATATATATATATATATATATATATATATATATATATATATAATATATATATATATATTATATATATATATATATATATATATATATGCAATATATTATATTATAATAATATATGCAAGATATATCTATATTTAGTAATGTATATGTATATAACTATAACATACAGTATACTATATATCGGACTTAGATATATATACCTGTCGCCCGGGGCATGCGTCGGCCTGGTTTCGACCATATCTTTTATTATATGTGTTGTTTTTCTTTATCCCTTATATTGGTGTTTTATCTTTTTTTTTTTTTTTTTATTTTCGGTGATTTTATTATTTTTTTACAATTATTTTTTTTTATTTCGATTTTTATTATCTTATACCGTATATAACTATAATAAATATATATATACATTTAATTATATAAACTTATTAACATATACACGTGTTTTGTTTAGTATCACACACATGAATTATGTTTCGTTTTTTCCTAAGAGCAACAAAGGGCAACGTCCAGACTCGGCGCAGCACCCTCACCCGTGCAGGCCAGGAGAGACTCCAACTCGGTCGTCACGGTAAACCCAGTTGGTTGTACGTCGAGAAGTCAGCAGGAGCGCGCTCTCGGGAGCCGTCAAACTGCAACTACTCCTGTTCCCTTTTATTATTTATATAATTTATTATATATATATATATATGTATATTATACTACTTTTTTTATGTTATCAAACACATTAAAGATGTTCTATACTTTTATTTATTGAATTATGTAATGTTATCTTTTCTTCCTCTCTCTCTCTCCCTCTCTCTCTCTCTCTCTCTCTCTCTTCCTCTCTCCACTCCTCCTCTCTCCTCTTTTTTTTATTATTATAATTATATATATGTATATATACATATATATATGCCATGCATATATAGACATGAATATATATATCCTCTCGGGATTCTCTGTTGCAAGTGATTACAAGACACTTGCAAAACGTCACCGAAACCACTCTTACATCCAGTCCATAGATATTAATACTATAAAATATAATACTCCCTTTAAATAAAATACAGTTTTTCCAATATCAATGCTCCAGGTTTTTCATGAATGCACCTCAGGTTATCTGAGTTCGCGGATTTTTTTATTATAACGTATATTAGGGTTCCATTATCTCTTATATCTTATTTAGCCTAGCTAGCAGCTCGTCAATCAGGATTTTATTATTTTATACCCACATGCAGTACGGCCAGTGCATCCACCTTTCATTGAAAACATCTATCACTAACGTATTACGATGCGTTAAAATCACTTTAGTTAGGCGGATGTAAAACGACTATCTGGTTTGGTAATTCGAATTGTTACCATTTTTCCCAGTGTCAAGTCACTTCTGGTAAGACTCTCTATGTCATCACGTTTATCTCGTCAAAAACAATATGTTCTTTTTACTGATTATACTAATTGATGCGCAAACAGATACACAATTATGTATTTTCATATGAAACTAGCTAAGAAACAATCACCACAATCTCGTAAACTCATCCACAATCCTAACTATCCATGGAACCGATAAATATAACAAAAAATATTAATTAATGCTAACAGAAAAAAACTTTATATAATAAACTGTCAATTGAGAAAATATCTATAAATGAAAAGGCTTCTTGCGTTGAGTATATATAATATTACAGTTGTTTTGTTTATTTACAGTATTATTATTATATCCAACATAATGGTTTTTATAATAAATCAATTATAATTCTCTTTTAGATAGTGTTTTAGCTCTCTGTGTCTTAATTCTGTTTTACATCCGAAGGAACCTAAAAAAGATTATTAGCGCTCGCTGATTTGCGTGGATATTATTCTCTGTTGTTCTACCATAATGTTACGATTGTTATAACGATATTCCGCTTTGTAGGTCGCAATGGTAATATATTTAACTAGCGATCGATAGGTTAGGAATCCGCCGCAGATAGCTGATTGGATTTTAACTGCTGCCGTACGTTTGCCCACGGGCAATTTCTTTGTAATAAGATCACTTTCGCAGGTGCGCCGTCGAGCGTGCCCGGAGGGTACAGGTTCCGCGGACAGTGCGGCGCGCCATTGATGAGGCAGCACTCACGCTCAGGAACTTTCTGGCAGATGGAAGTAGGCTGTATACTGGAGCTAGGCTGTTTTAAGAATCCGAGCGCCAATCAGGCTATTGATGGGATCAGAATCGCTGTTCTCATCATAGCGATTAATCCGCCGGATAACTCCGCGCTTCCGTCCAAAGTCTGTATGCAGTAGACTTCCCGCCACTTCCACACAAACATCTAGAAGCCGCAAATTACGTAATTTCACAAGCACCGTCAGCATTTTGAGCTATGTCTTCGTAAATTCAAAACTCGCTTTGTTTGTTCTGATACAAGATTAAAAGTAAAATAGATAATAATAAAACATTCAATATGAAATTTTGTAAAATGAGGAAATAGGACTACTATTACAACCAAATTCGGAACCGACCTAACATTTCACTAATAAATAGCCTATAGCGACTACAGTTTCCTTTGGCCGTCGGTAATGCATGCTGCCGTATTGCGCAGTTATAACCCCACGTGACGCTGGCGATGTGGCGACACGCAGCGCGCCGTCGATCGAGTGCGGTGTGGAAGCTCGGGTCATCTCTGCTAGCACATGACCCGATTCCGTTGAATGAAATACGATATAAAGAGAAGAAGGAGATGAGGAGATGAGTATTGAGATTACCAGTTAACAGACTACTAATAAGAAAGAGAGATATTTTTATCTCTGGGAAAGCGAAGCTCTAATCAAAGATTGATTATGATTTCAACATCAAGTTCCTATTTTACAGTCGCGAATTCAGACATGTTACTGTCACGTAAATACGACAGAGCAGTACTTTCCTTGATGTCGAGGTCGGGGGCGCGCGCGCGGAGGCACTCGCCGTAGGACCCGACGCCCAGCACGAAGGGCACGCCGTAGAGGAGGCCGTCGCGCGCCTTCGCCCACGAGTCCACCACTGAAGAAGCGGGGGTCAGCGCACGCACACACACGTATATACATACATCAATATGTGTGTGTGTGTGTATATGTATACTTACATATAAATAGATACACACACACAACCACACACACCACATATAATATATTATATAACTATATTATTTATAATATTATAATATATATATATAATATATATAAACACATAGGAGAAACTGTCGCACAACTTTTGCTTTTTAGAGTTCACTACTGAAGAGACGTTATTGACTTTTCAGTTTCGTAGCTTAGTCCTAATATACTCCAAGGAAATGTTTATAGATTAAGCTGCCTGCTAGCAATCACTTTCTTCAACATTCTCGGAAACGTGGAAGGGAGTGCTGGGGGGGGGGGGTATGTATGGCTTTGAAATTTCCGGCGAATATCTCACATAAATGTTTTATTTTATTTTTATTTTTTATCTATTATTTATTTATTATTTATTTTTTTTTTGGGGGGTATGTATGACTTTGAAATTTCCGGCGAATCTCACATAATATATATTTTTTTTTTTTTGGGGGGGGGGTGGATCAGTAAATTGAAAGTACTAGAACAGTGGGAGGGGGGGGGGTACAGAGAGTTTTGGTACGATTTTGAAAATGCATCTAATATAATTGGCCTTTTCATATATCCATGAATATCTTGAACTTTTGATCATGAAATGAGAAAAAAAACATACTAGAAAATACTTGTAAATCAACAACCTAAACTATTCCTTGTTACGTCACCAGGCATTCATTAATTTGGGAATAGAGTGAAATGTTGCAAAGAGCGAGTACAAGAACAGAATTGGTTTTAAAAATGTAGACTTAATGCAACGATACATCATTATGAGATTATTCGCCAAGGATACCATACTGCTTGCAAGGGCTTGGGCGCAGTCGGTGAGGTTCCCGTCACGTGTCCCAATCCACTTTTGTTTTGGTTGGTTTTGGTTTTTTTACGGGCTGACTGGTGTTTCTGCCCCCCCCCCCCCCCCCCCCCGCATACACAAACATGCACGCATCAAAATAAACTTCGCCACAAGTCCTATTGTTATATTGCTGTGCCAATAGTTTTAGTTAATGTTTAAATACATAGTTATACACATTTTATGATAAGCATTTACAATCTTCGGGGAAAGCTTACTCTGCAAGACTCCGAGCAAGTCTTCCTTTTGGGAGACGCTCCCCTCGAGGGCGGAGGCCATGGCGGCCACCGCGACGCCGCAGGGGGACGTGGCGTCGGCGAACACCGGCAGGTACAGCGACCACGGTTGTCCATCTGTGATAGAAAACGAAAATAAAATTCCAGAATTAAGCTTTATCCCCCGCCTATACATATATATACATATATATAAGCACATAGGAGAGACTGTACAGGAACCCGGTACCTATACAACACCCACTGAAATCGTGGGTGTTGTAGATGTAATCGGAAAAAAGTCCTTGAGAGTCCTTGAACAGCCGCCCAGGTTCAGAACCAATCCCGAGAGTTTGGTGTGCTCGCCATATTGCTCATTCCCAACCTTCGATACTCAAATATCATTTAATGGGTTTCTAAGAATTGGTAATAAATCGTGAAACATCTTGAAGGCAAGGAAAAGACATCAACACGGCTTGATAGTTATCAGTTAGTTTTACAAGTCATCATTACACAAGATACGTATCGCTGATCTTTTCGGTTGAAGTGGGTAGTGACGTCACAAGTATAAACAAAGATAAATGAATAATCTTCGGCATTACAGCTGATAAAAAGCTCTCTATAGTCATTAAAGAAAAGAAATAGGACAACGATAGTAAAATTGAATACAAGGATATCAAAATATAGATGTCTTGCTTGCACTTAATCAGATGCGTTTATACCCAGCATATTAAAACTGGAGAGAGTGAATAGGAGAGAAGAGAAGTGAGGAACAGAAAATGGAAGGAAATGAAGGGAAGGGAGGGAAAGAAAGGGGGAGGAGAAGAAAGGGAAGGGAATAAAATGAAAAGGAAGGGAAGGTATGGAAAGAGGAGGGAAGTGGGAGGGGAGGAGAGGAAAAGAGAAGGGGGGGGGAAGAAAGGGAAAGGAATAAAATGAAAAGGAAGGAACAGGAAGGGAAGGAAAGAGGAGGGGAGGGAAGGGAAAGGAGGGGAATGAAATGAAGAGATGATAGGAGAAAAGGAAAAGAAGAAAAAGAACAACGGGCGCATAGGAAGCCATTCCTACATAATCCTAGAAAGCGCTTACTGGCCAAGCAAACCAAGCCGCACAGCTGACCAAAGTCTATATAAGGACTTGCATAAACCTTGCCGCTGACCCAACCTACGTGTTCACTTGACCAAGCCACAGCTCACACCAGGCTTCCACCCTTAGCCATAGGAAATGCCAGCGTCAGAGGCACGGTGGTTTGGGTCAGCGGTGTGGCTTGGGTTGGAAAATATGCAGGATTCTTATACTTCTTTTAGAAAGAGACTGAGACTGAGCGCAAAACACAAGAGAGAGAGAGAGAGAGAGAGAGAGAGAGAGAGAGAGAGTAAAAAGGAGGTGATAAGAGATTTCACAAGGCAAGCTCCACTTAAGTCTTACTGATAACCCTTCGAATTCATATCCGATTAATAAAAGAACTATTGCGTAAGGGCAAGGGGACCGATAAACCCTCATCATTGCCTAACTTGCCTACTATCATTGGACTCAGAAACATGGCGTAGATAGTAACTCGAGTTTTATTTTTTCACATCTATGGTATTGTCTTTAGAGAAGAATTTCATTCCGCACTGACGCGGATGCGGACAGAATCTCCACGCTGGAGGATGCCATCTCTCGTAAGTAGCAGACGGATTTCTGCAAACCGGATACGCTGACCGCTTGGACTGATATTGCTTGTTGTCAGGATGACTGGCGCTTCCCGTGCTGCAGTTGCTTTCCTCCTTTTCACTAAGTGCCAACGAGGGTTTGTCTTTTTATGTTGCATCCTGTAGTCGGCCTGGTGATGTTTTCTTGATGGTGACTAACGGATCATTCTAAATAGGAACATTTAATCTTCATCATCTTCCGCCAGACCCACTTTGGAAAAAAGTTTATTTGGGTAACTTCAATAAAGATGGCCTTCCTAGGGGAGGTAATGATGAACAAAAATCAAGCACTGTAGGCGTTCCGAGAAAGATCCTTCAACGCAGAACAACAGATAATGGGCGGTCTAAATACCCCACCTACATTTGTCCCATCAACCCCGTTCTCCCACATGCCCCTTCACTGCTCACCTCCAGGTTCCCGAACAGCCGCCCTGCCGACCTCTGCCACCACGTCCTCCACATTCCTGAACTCGAGCGGGGCCTCACGACCGAAGGGCTGCAGACTGCTTAGGACCTCTCCTCCAGCCCAGTCCTGCCCCAGGGTTGCGCAGGAGGACAGGAGTAGGAGGAAGGGAATGAGGGCGAGGGACCCCATGGCGCGGCAAGGGACCTGTTCGCGGAAAGATGCAGACGCGATGTGGAAGCAGAGAGCGCGGGGTCACGAGGCTTCAGCTCTATCAGCGGCGAAGGTGACACCGATCTGATCTAATCTGAAACGAAAAA